TACTAACACCAACGCATTTTCTTCACTTGTCGATGATTATCCGTATGAACGTCATCGTTGTATCCTTGCAATGACGAATTAGGAATTGAGAAAATGATTCTCCTACGATATTATTGGATTCTATTAACTAGATTATGAGAATAGAAAGATAGAACTGTTTTAGTATGACGTTTAAATACGTGCACCAACGCGATTAACTTGTTTTTTTTTTTTTTTTCTTCTTTTTTATTCCAGTTTACGTTTACATACTTTTATGTTAAACAAAACGCGTATCATCATCGTCACGAATATCCTTCGTATTTTAATGAGAGTATGACAGAGTTTACTGTGCTTTTTTTTTCATTTTTTTTTTTTTTCTACAAAATTACATTCGACCTCGTTATTCTCATATTTGTCGTTGAACGTTCATGTTAATTGCAAATACTTCGTTTTCATTTTACATCTGATAAAACAAATTGTTTGTTAAACATCTTCAATGTTACTATTACTTAGATTTTACAAAATTCAACATTTCAATAATAAAAAATAAACAAAAGAACAAGGCTAATCCTTGAAAAAAGAAAATTCATAAGAAGAAAGAAAAAGTTTTGTCTGTAAAACAAGTAGTATAAGTCAATACACGTGATCCGTCTGACTAATCCTCGTGTTGGATTACTCGGATCAAAGTAAAAGAACTTTTAGTTAGCAAAGTACATACCTAAAGTAATACACTTTTATTGGTTTATTTTCTCACACATACATATAGAATAAAATAACCCAAGAATCAAGGTGTGTATGTAGTACCTGTTGGGTAAGAAGGCGTGGCCAAATTAATCCCACCACTAAATGTTACCCCTTCCCACTATTGCAGATACGACGCAGAAGTCAAGTTGGGGGTGGGGTTTAGGGTTTTCGAAGCTTGGGTGGTGGTGGGGGTGGTAAGTTAGTATAAAAGTAGAAGTCACGTGAGGGAGAGAGACAGAAAAGACCAAAAAAATCAGCGTTCACAACCGTCCCCCCACCTCACCTCACCTCACCACACCTCAACTCATCTCATCTCATCTTCCTTCTCGTTTTGTCCCATCTCGATAGTGAACCAAAGTTTACCATCATTCGATTTCTACTTCACTCTTCACCTCCTCATTCTCATCCTCATTTTTATTCCACCCCCCCCCCTCCGCACTCCCCACGTTTATTTCTTTTTTTTTTTTTTTTATTATAAAGAAGATTCGGGCTTTTGTTTCCAAAAGAGAACAGGGTTACTCGGACGATCGTAAGTTTCGAGTTCCCCTGTTGAAAAGTTCTCCTACAGGGTCACAAATTCCCATAAGAAAGGATCCCACAGATAATTTCGCAACTAACTGTGTACCATGAAACAACGAAGCTAAGAATAAAGGGACCCAGTAGAAGGAGGAGAAGGATAATGGGAGGGAAAGAGAAAGGGAAGGGGCCTTAAATATTGCGTCTTTGTTTTACACCTTGAATTTCAAATGAATTAACATTAAATCATAATTTTAAATAAATAATTTCTACGTAATTTCAATGAAATCAAATCGAATAAAAATTCAACAAAAAAAAAAATGAAGTGAACACCAATGTTAGGAACAATTTAAACAAAAGTATATTTAAATTATTATACAGTTGTAATATTATTAAGGACACTCCTTAATCTTATGGGGTGGGGGGAGGGCGGTAACATCCGTTCACGAGACTAAACATAATCCGATAATAATAATCTATTTATACAAGCAAGCAAGTAGTTCCTTTCGATATGTGTGTCACGGTGTTAGAAATCAGATCGACGTGTAAGCGTTATTTGCGTTATAAGTAAGTAAGTACCTTAATCGTCGCCATGACAGCTCGTAAATCGAAAGTGGGTAACGGTAAAGCAAAGAGGAAGGGAGGAGGAGGAGGAGGAGGAGGAAGAGGAAGAGGAAGGTATTATATACCAGAACAGAAATGTTATCAACAGGGAGCACCTAGGTTTACTGATAAATCCTCGAGAAAACACAGTTTTACATTTACGCTTGATCTATTTTATTATTCAACATCATACCGCTATAATACGCCTATGCAAAACTCGACTAACCTAACCTCTGTACACACACGATATGTATGCATACATTTTCTATCTATCATCTTTTAAGAAAATAAATATTCAAATGATTTTCAACTAAATTTATTTTATCGTTATAATCGTTGTTTTATCTTAAAAGATGACGGGGAATTAATGACGGTAATATTAGAAGGGAAAACACACTATGATTGATAGAAATAAATCAAAGGATGATTACAAAAAAAAAAAGAAAAACATAACTGTTAATTACAAGTGAAATCTATCGATTAAAAACACGTTTGTTTAGTTTTCATTTGAACCTTTTTTTATTTAAATGAAGATCACATCCTAGTTTTCAATATATTGCTTAGTATATTAACATTCAGTTTCACAATATGTTTGTCCACGAATAATTTCGAAATTATTGTATCGATTTGAATGAATTTCTTATTTTTATTTTGTAGATGTTTTTTCAACTTAGAATATGGGATAATTTTTATCGCGATTATTTTATATTTTTTATTGCAAATTTAAGGTTTTATTACGTAGTGATTATGTAGGTTCTAAGTACTGTAAATTTTTAATTTGGTGACGCTGCATTACAATTGAATTATTTCAATTTGCATACGACATAACCTTACTTTTGTAAGATTTTTCATTGTATTATTATTTTGTATATATTGTTATAATTTATTAAATAGTTTAGAATAATATTATATCAACATTTAATAACAAAACCATAACAACGCATGGCTGATGCATCCTACTAAGAATACATAAATAAAGAAGGAAAGAAAAGAATAAGATTATAGTTGTGTGTACTGTTTATGCATGATATTTATAACATGTATGTATGTGTGTATGTGTGTATGTGAAAAGAGGAATCGAATATAAGAGGTGACTTTCACTGTGCACACGCGTTAAGTGCTCGCGGAAGCGTCGTTCGATCTACCTACACCAAACTCTTTATTAAAAAAAAAAAAAAAATCAAGAACAGTAAAAGAGAGAAAGAAAGAGATAGAGAGAGAGAGAAAAGGCTTTCTGAAAACGTTGTAAATCCTTTGGACGGGCACGAAAGACGACCTCGTTTCATACTCGACTACGACGACGACGACACCGCCTTCCTTCTCAATTTCTTTCCAGATCCTAAACCTCAATGGCTAGCACGCGACGTTATTCACAAACTATAGGGTTCACACGCATTATTATTATACTTTGGGCATCACTATACATTTATGGTTAACTGTATACCTGATACAACACCCACCCATCTTTTTTTTTTAATTCTTGCCAAATTTTTTTTTCTTTTTTGTTTTCATTTTATTTGCGATCTCTTTTTCTTTGTTCCTTTATTTTAATAGAACGTTTTTGTTTTAACCCGTGGTTCATATATATATGTATATATATGTGTGTGTATTTATTATAAAATATACCTTTTTTTTATATATAATATTATTGTTAGGTTGTTGCACAGATACATTATTTATAATTATTAAAATAATATTAATAAACGTTTTAGTAATACGCCATACTATTAAATGCATTTGTCCATGCATATTTTTATATATATTACGTTGTTGTAAAGATAAATTATTTATAATTATTAAAAGTAATATTAATAAATATTTTATAACATTTAAAATGTATTAATAAACGTTTTATATATAAAATAATATTAATAAACGTTATGCATGGACAAATGTCGAGAGACTTTAATGCGCCAATAGGAGAGTAACCACAATTAAAAATAAATCAATTTTCTTCAATCCTAGTGCAAAAAAAATTCCAAAAAGGGTTGTGAATATTTTTGATTAGTACCAACAAAGAAAATCTAACAAACAAAACTTATTCTGTTGTCTGAAATAAATTATTTAATTTGTATTATTTATTTAGAGAGTGCTGGGGGTAGTTTTTCAATAATTGATGTAGCTTTTACCCTATTGATTTTGAACTACTACCACAATTTTTGTTGTTGTTGTATTTTTTCTTTCTTCTTTTCTTTTCATTTTTTTTTTTTCTTTCGGGTTTAGTAGGTTAGTTGGCCCGAGTCAACTTCCTTCGTTAGAGGAACCGTTACGTCCTACAACACCCGCCTGCCCTTCCATTGTAACCGGTTGCCTTGTCTCTTATTGTTACCGGTTCTCCCTCTCTTTTTTCTTTTCTTTTTCTTTCTCTCATGGCGAGACGGTCTTTCGCTTTACGACGAGCAAGCTGATTCGTAATCGAGCCAAACGACCGAACGTCTGGGACCGTCCTTTAGTTACCTTAACGTTTACGATCTCTTTCTTTCTTCTTCGAGGAAGTCAAAACGATTTCGTTTCAAAAAAAAAAAAAGAATCCCCTTCACAACAAATATTTTGTTATAATTCAACCATAAAAAAAAACAGCTTTTGTTTTATCATCCTATTATCAATTGTTTAATTTGTGTGTTTTCTGTTAATGTTGGTTAATATTGGATTGTCTTTAAAGTTTGTGCCGATTTTGATGGAAAATTGAAATGCAATCCCATTCAAGGTTTTTGTTGTTGTTATATATTTATTAAATAATAAATATAACCATATTGAGTTGGCAACTAAGTCATTGGTGATTTTAAAAAGCCACCTATCGACTAAATTCGCAATCATTTACTTGCCAACCCAATGTAAATATTAATAATTATATAAATATATATATAATTATAAAAATAATATAATAATATAATAATAATAATAAATTTAAAATTTCGTTTTTCTAGAACTTTTCAGGTTTTCCGAGAACTTTTCAGGTTTTCTCAGAACTTTTCAGGTTTTTCCAAAACTTTTCAGGTTTTTCCAAAACTTTTCAGGTTTTTTAGCAAAACAACTTTAATGCCATCTACCAAAACTCGGCCCAAACTTTCCAGACAACCAAATATAATAATTAATTCTACGAACAATTATACGATAATTGTTAATATTATTTAAAAATAATAATAATAATAACTTACCATAACCACGCATAATTCCATGAGTCAAATATAATGGTGCTCTTCCAGCAAATGAACCCTTAGCTAGTACCTGACGTATCAATTTAGGATCCGATAATAAAACCGTATAAACAGATCCCATTTTCAATCCACAAATAGGCCCATATTTTCTGGTCAGTTGGGTCAACGTTAAATGAGGAGCTTTTGAATTCAACCATGGTAAATAACCAACTATTGGTAGGCCTAATGGGCCTGGTGGTAATCGATGTTTCTTGCGATTGGTGTAATAAAATATGATCAATAGTAGACAAGTTAAGATGATCATAAATATCGACATCTTTCAAGTTGTAGTAGTGTTGGTGATGGTTGTGTGATGGGTATGGATGATTTTCTGCGAATAATGCATATTAATCTCACGTGTTTGTTTCTTAGAAATTCTACATTCTTAAGTGTCATTGCACTTTACGCGGAATACTGTATGTTGAAGATGAAAAAGAATGTTGAAAATAAAAAAACTAAAAAACTAAAAAAAAAATGAAATTACGTAAGAACAGGATGTCGATGGTTTAATGGTAATCGGCACATCTATCCCAGAAATCGTTAACGATAGATACGAATGATAATTACCTTTCTCCAAGGAACGAATGAGCAACTTGTTGTGTGTATATGAACTTATCGGATTATCAAGATTCGCTCACGTGCAAAACGTGAAGAGGGACGAGAAACGATCCTTGCTGCGGTTATCCGATATAGGCCGACACGTGCTAAAACACGTGCAAATAAATACGTCGCTAATTCCTTATAACAATTATTATTATTATTATTATTATTATTTTATTACGGGTAATGAACTTAGGATGGAATATATATCTCATTATCATTTTCATTTATTTCAATTTATCAATTATAAATTATTTACTTGTTGTACGGTATTTGGTTTGTTTTTATTTCTTATTTTTATTATTACTCGTAGTTTAATTTTATTTAAAAAAGAAGTTATGATTTGATTGGGTGAGGTTTTTGTAATTTTTAATTGAAATTTATTTGACTAAAATTTAGAAAAACAAATTTATAAGAATTGTTTGTAGTATAGTTTAGAAAAATATTGTAGGGTCATTTCTATTTTAAAACGTATAGTTCGTGGTATAATGGACACTGAAAAAACCCCAGTAATTTTTTTAAATTTTAATTGAAATTTATTTGATTGAAACTTGACAAAATCAGAAAATAGAAAAACAAATTAGTGAAAATTGTTTGTAGGATAGTTTAGAAATAATATTGTAGGGTCATTTCTATGTTAAAAGGTATAGTTCATGGGATAAGGGATACCAAATAAACCTCAGCAACTTCATGCAGTACTACGCGTTTATACACTGATAAAATTAATCTCAATTTTGTTTTATTTGCTTATCAAATTTGATAATTATATTAATCACATTTTATTGATCAAACTTAAAACAATATTTCTATATTACTTAAATATATTATTAATTGTTAATAATACGTGAAATATTATTTTAAAAAACTTACCCAAGATAAAAACTCGTTTACACTATGGCGGAGATAAAACATGTGAACAGTGAACGACATCAGCGCCCGTGAAATTGAAGAAACTTCATGAAACTTGAATCAAAGCGCGGGTATTTTGAATAAAAAAAAAAAAACCAAAAGAAAAAACTTTGCCCTCAGCCCTTTTTTTATACCTTTTTTTTTTTATTTAACACGTTTAAACATTTGAACAATTGTTTAAAACAGATCAGACAAATGAAATGTAATTTTTTTTGGATATTTTGTTCCACTGTACACACATATGCACACGCACACAAGTATAAAAAAAAGGAATTTTATGCAGTGTTCGTCGGGTTATTAAATCTTTTGAAATCCGGTTCTCTTAGTCATTTTCTTGTCTTTCAAAAGATAAAGAAGAATAAAAAAAAAAACTAAAAAATAATAAAAATAAAAAATACGAACGATCCAACTACGACGACGACGTGGAATCAAATGCGTTTTCCAAATCGTAAAGGTAAGATAATCTTTCGAATGATTTGACTGTAAAATTAAAGAGACACGTTTTATTCCATGAATTTCATGATATCACCTGAATAGATCGAACCCCAACCGAATGCGCATTGGCGACGAGAACTACTTCATCAATGTTTTTTTGTCTTTTTTTTTTTAAATTCTTTCCAATCCAAAAAAGATTTTTATTTTTAAATTCATTCATTCGTTCATTTATTTAAATAATATTCTACAAAATGTAAGGAGATTCAACTTAGCATCGTTTGTTTTTTATGAATTTATTTCTGACCAGTTTTTTTCAATGGGTTTTTTTTTTTTATAATATCGACGCCTATGAACGAAAGAATGGAATTTGTCCATTGGGAAGAATTTCTTTTTGCATTTTTTTTTCAGGTCTGTGCATATCTACCTGATATTCAATAACAGTGTCGTATATCCTTACGTATTTTGAAATATCATTTATTTTTCATTGATTAAATTTAATATTATAAAAATACTTATAAAATATATGATTTACAATGGGGGTTTAAACCTACAGTGTCCCATAATTCGATCCATTATTTTAATATATAAAAATTATGAAAGTTTTAACAGCATTTTTGTAGGATTATCAAAAGTAACCGAACTACCATTCCTAATAAATTAATAAATTATTCATTTAATAAAAAAAGAATAAGAAGAACGTAAAATATAATAAAATAAAACAAACCCCCGTGAAGATAAATTAAATGGTTACTTAGGTATTAACGCCATGGCACAGCAACAAAAATTCCGCTAATGCGCCAATAAAGAGCAATCTTGTTGTTCGCACAAAACAACCTTGTTGTTTGCACACAGCAACCGTCAGGGTTTCGTCAGGATTGCATCAGGGTTTCCTCAAGGTTTCGTCAGGGTTTCGTCAAGGTTTTTATCATTTGTCACAACAATTTAAGGTGTAAATTGGCGCATTAGCTGAATTTTGCTGCAATCTCGTTAATACGTATGTACCATTAAATGTAATATAAAATAAAACAAACCCCCGAATGAATAATAAATCATTCGCGTAATATGATAATGAATGATATGAAAAACGGGAAATGTCCTTCATTGTTACGAAGGACACGTCGTTGAACTAACGAACTAACACGTGGTAGAAAAGGTGAACGCAGTTCTCTCAGCTCATACGATGACGATGGTTAATCGTGGAAAGTAAAAGTGATTTCCCAGCTTGGCTTGAAACACTTGGGGGAGCCGTCAAAGATGAAAATAAAATGAACAAAATGAATAGAACTAGTCACAAACACACACACAACCCAAAACATATTTGTAAAACATAGTCACACATGTGCACATATGCTTAAATATACGTACAGTTTCCCATACACACACGTATACAACTATAGTTACATATACATATGACATAATTACACATACACATGGTTAGATACATCTATATTTTCTCATACATAAACATACACATATATATATATATATATAAAATATAATCTCATACATAAACGTTGTCGTTCACATACACACATGTATTATACACACATATATAATCATAGAAGTAAAAAGGTAACCGCAATAAGTGAATTAACATTATGAAAACATTAAAAAGTGTTAGGCGAGAAAATGAAAAAGACAGGAGGCAACGACCCGTTGCCCTTACGCACGCGGCACACCATCAAAGATTTCTTATCTTACCTCTGTACGTTTACTTTGGCTCACGTGCCAAGAGATCGTACGGGGATGGGGCGTTTTAGCGCGAATCACGTGCAACCTTACGGGTATAGATCGATCGAATGGTTAGGTTGGTTGGTTGGAATCAAACCTGCAATGCGAACATCACTTCGATCAAACGAAAATTGACGTCACAGTTTCTATGGAATTTAAACTTATTTTATTCATTCCAAATATTATATTAGTTTTTTTATAATAATTATTATATTAATAATATAATTATATTAATTGGGATCTCTAGCATTTGAATACGCTGACTGGTTGCTAAACTCAAAATTAGAGTAGATAGATCGAATTGCTACGCCACGTGGCATCTCTAGCACTTGATTACGCTATCTGGTGGCTAAATTTAAAATTATATTAGATAGGACGAATTGCTACGCCACACCCCCCTTAATTATTATTTAAATATATGTAATAAATATGCGAATTATATTCATCTAATACACATCTATTTTATATATTAAAATAATATTAGGTTATTCGGAAAGTTGGTGGCGATTTCTGATAGATGGCATTAAAGTACTTTTGCTAAAAAAAAAACCTGAAAAGTTCTGAACGCAACAAATTTTTAAATTACCCATTTAAGATGAAGGAAAAATTATTGAACGGTACTCTTATATATTTAATTAAGTATCAAATTTATTTTTTATTTTACATATATGTATGTATATTATTATTAATAACAATATAATAAAAAAAAACGTTGGTAATTTTTGATGAATGATTATTATTAATTTTATTACATTTATATGTAATTGGACAAATTTGTACGTAACATTAAATTTAATAATAAAATTTCCCTTTTTTTAACTTTCATATGAATGACCACAATTATTATTTCCAACGAAATAACGAGTTCAATGTATATTGCAATACTTATTGATATAAATGTGATATAAGAGGATTAACATTATGTAATAAAACGAAATATGAGAATGTAAGTTTAAGTATGGTTTAAAAATATTTTCTTGCAAAGAATTGGCTGATCCCTTTCTTTCTTTCTTTCTTTCTTTCTTTTTTTTTTTATTAAAAATTTACAGGTGCAAGTGAGAGAAAGAAATTCTGTTATGCGACTTTGTGTCGTACTACTATACCTGGACTCTTCTCTTTTGTATTTTTAACCATCGACGAAATCATGCGAACCTTTTTTCTTCTTTCATTTTGGTGTTGTGTTGGTTACGTTTGGCTTCCAACTGTGAAAGATTACACATACACGCATAATACGATTGGCCACAAGTTGCTGCTACTTTCGCGGGTGAATGAAAAATAATAAAAAAAAAAACAAAAAAATTAATAAATAAAAAAAACCACGTGATCGATATGATCTACTTAAAAAAAAATATAATGAAACATTTACATTGACGTTGTATCATCAACTTCCGTTCACGTGAGTTCAATTGATAAAATAAAATAAAAAAAAAACTAATTGTAAGAAAACAAATTAGGCACTTTCATTTCTTCTTCTTCTTCTTCTTCTTCAAAAAAAATTGAACCCTGACGAAAAATAAAAAAAAAATAAAAAATACGATGAAGAATATGAAAACAACAAAAAAAGGCAGACGGTAACGAAAAACGTGATCGTTGATGCACGTTGCCATGCGATTCGAAACGAATCCTCCTTTCCTCAACTTTCCCGATCCAACACGCAGTTGAAAACGTGATCCTCCCCCTCTTAATTCTCCTCCTCACCCTCCTCCCGCTAACAGCATTCGAGGACTCTCATAGTAATCGCGAGGAATTCAGGATCTCTCATGAAACGATCATCGCTCTCTCTTTCTTGGATCGTAGTCTCCCGCAACCGGTATAGATAGGATAAGATCCACGACCTAACTGAAAGATACTTTAGAACGTGCTGGTTTGTTGGTTTATCCGGTTTGATCTTCAAATAACATAAGAGGAGTACTATAACAACGTCATGTTAAGAACACCATAAGCGTTTACGCACACTACTTCCATTTTTTTATATATATATATTTTTTCATTTTTTAGTATACTTTGACATTTTCATGTATGGCAGAACACAAAAAACACGTTAATAGTCCACATTTAGGTTAGGAACTTTTACAGATTATCGATAGATGGCATTAAAGTTCATTTGTTAGAAAAAAAAAACCTGAAAAGTTCATTTGCTAAAAAAAAAACCTGAAAAGTTCGTTTGCTAGAAAAAAAAACCTGAAAAGTTCTGGAACGCAAAAATTTGTAAATTACCCATAAAGATGGAAAAAAGTTTATGGAAATTTGTTTAAAACAATTGTAATGACGAATTACAATTAATAAAAATGTGTAAATTAAAAAAAAACGGGTTATTAAACTATAAAACTACTAACACATGTAGAATCCTATAATTTGTAAGATAAAAAAGATAAGATAATATATTGTATAATTTAAATTACAAATAAATTTATATAACAATATTACTATATATTATTATATTAATAAATGAATGAATTAATAAATAAAATGAATAATTAAAATTATTAAGCCAGTTTTTTTAGAGTATCAAAGGTCGAAGGTAAAAGTGTGATGACTATAGAAGGTTATTGGAAATAAAAAGAAGATGAAGAAGAAAAAGAAAGGGTGGCGGACATCGACTCTTCTTTAATCGGTTCCTATTCCCGTTTTATTTTATTTTATTTTTTTTTTTTTTTTTTTTTATCTTTTTTCTCTCTTTTTCAACATGGGGGGATAAAGCGAATGCCCGGACGATAAGAAATCTTCTGTTTTGTGTTCTCTTTTTCCTTGTTGGAAATTCTGCGCCGGTTCTGGTATGCACCTTCTCGTTCGGGTCCATGGTAGAAACAGAGTAAGGGAGAGAGAGAGAGAAAAAAAAAGAGAAAGAGAGAAAGAAAGACAGAATGAGTGTGAGTGTACCGGAGCCTATCGGACGGGACGTGCAACGACCGACAAAGGTCATTCTCGACGTTAAAATCTGCATATTACTTCTTCTCGCGCCTCCAACGACCCTCATTCGTTCTTCTTCAACCAGATATGCATATATATATATGCATGTATGCATGTATGCGTGTATGCGTGTATTGGATTATCAGAAAAGTTCAGTGTAGATTTTAATAATTCAATTTTGTTTCATTTTGTTTCTTATTATATTCTCGGAATAACAAAACAAAATGTCATTGCAATTATTCAATGAACATTTCTAAACAAATTAGAGTTTGGAATTAGTTAATTAAAATATATTTAATTAATAATAAGTATATGATAATGAATCAGTGTTGTGAATAAGAAAAAAACAATTGGGATAGATAGAAGTGTGATCCTGTAATTGGTGATAGTAGTTGTGTGATTACAAAAATAGAAGAAATGGTTAAGGGTTGGGGTTGGGGTTGGGATGGGGAGGGGGATTTGTTTCAGCTTTCGTATCTTACGACAAACGACGAATTTACCGGATAGCTCAACGGGAAACTCGAGAAGAA